CAAAAGGAAATCCACCTCTAAGGAAAATCTAATCACTATTTAGTTGTATCTGAAGTTGATTTAATTTTAAACATTTGTTTTCAACATGCCACCCAGGACATATTACTGAAAACATCAATCTAATCATCAGACACTGCATTATACAATGAGTAATAAAAATCCTCCAGAATGTTCTCATCAATCTCCAGTGACAGACTCATGCCAAGGACATGAGCAACTGTGCCCCAAAGGGATTACTTCAGAATGGAGTAATATTCATTTCATAATAACAACTTTCAAAATGCAGCACCTGATGGAGTTTTACCTTAGGCGTCTCAAATACTTGTTCTAGATGTATGATGTGCTCATGTTTTACACTTTTTAGGATGTTCACCTCACGTTCCAGTAACTTCACAGCAGAACTTCCAGCCTTAATCAATGAAGAAACACAGATTTCACATATGAATGGTACTCCTACATTCCTCAATATAAAAGTTTGTAATTTTATATTATTTACTACATTTTTTGGAAAAGTTTCTTTTTCAAACAATATCACGCAATTTATTCCCTTCATCAGATTAAATTATGTCCCTTCTTTCCTTTGTCAGATTTTAAGTTGTATATAATTTGGCCTTTAACTACATCTGTTTCTTGGGCTGTGTCTATAAATTAGCTACAACATGGTATCTATACCCTCACAAAATTATTCCGATTTTTAATATGCTTTTTGATATTTCCTCCAAAGTCATGTTGATCCCTTGTTGTTAGCGTAACAAAAATGAGATCTACTTCCAGGGACATCAATTGGAGAAGATAAAACAAAATTTTTTCCTTTTGTTTTGTTGTTGTCTTGTTTTGATTTGATTTATATGTATCAAAAGAAACAACAGGCAATGAGATTCTATATTTAGGCCTGCCTTACAATACTTCCTGGTCCTCCTTGGAAGTAATGAGAGAGAGTGAGACAGAGAGACATAGAGACAGACAGACAGAAACAGAAAGAGACAGATCTTGCCTTCAGACCTACCTAACCCCAACTTTATCTCTTAAAATTTAACTCTTGCTATGCCTGACAACAAAAGGTAAAGGCAGGAACACTCTAGGGAACCCAAGGCCTTCATTCAGGGTATAAGTAATTGATTGTCTACAATGTCATTTAAGAAATTATAGAAGGATTTTCTCCACCCTCATCACCACCACCACCCCAAATAGTCACCCCTGCTGATACTTAAATGGCCATTATTTGAGGATAAGCATTGTCCTCATTTACAGGTCTTATTTCCACATAAATATCCCAGAAAGGGATAGCAAAGGTCTTACTCCTACACCTGCTAAGCCCACCATATGGTAGAATACAGAATGGTTCTTAAAGGAGTGGAAAGGGATT